ATTTTCGCCCATTCTTGCTTCAAAACTTGTAGTAGATCGCTCTTCGAAGTTGTTTTTTTTTTTCTTGACTTGCCGGTCGAGTATGGCCCAGAGGTTTTCGATGGGGTTCATGTCAGGAGATTGGCTCGGCCAGGGCAACTTCTGGATACGATTTTCTTCCTGCCACTTTTGGGTGTTTATAGCAGTGTGACACGGTGCTCCATATTCCTGGAAGAACGTTGTGTTCTTGTCCACGAAACCCGAGGAATAAAGTGGCAAGAGTCCTTCCTCCCCTATTTCGCAAAATTTATGTTGCTAACGCACTCCACTAAGCTCGATCTCCCACCAACCCAAACAGCTCCCCAAACCATCACGCTGAAACCATCATGCTTCGCAATTGGCTGCAATCTGTTGAGTCAAAACTCTTGGTGAGGCATTCTCCAGACCCATATCCTTCCACTATCCGAAAATTGAGCGAATCTTGATTTGTCTGAGAACAATACGGTCTTTCAAAAGTCCAGAGGCTTGGTCATCATATCACGTGCCCACTTCTTTCGTCTGACTATGTAGGCAGATCTTAATAAGGGCTTCCGTCTAGCTGCTCTGCAACGATAACCCAATCTGTGGAGAATCCGTTGAACAGATTTCGGGCTCATCCCACTAAATTTGACCACTTCTACAGTCGTTAATCTGGGATCCATTTCGATGCTCCTCTTGACAGCCCTTTTTGTCTTCTCCGATGGACCAGGACGACCCGGACGCTGCTCAGATGTTTCCTTGCCGTGTTTCCTGAACTGCACGATGATTCTGTTGACTGTCGAAAGCGGGATTTCCAAATTCTGCAAAATTTGCCGCTGACTTATTCCACCATCTGCTTGACCAACTATCCTTCCTCTAACAACATCTGACAATTCGAGAGAACCTTGAGTTCTAGGCATGTTGTAGCACAAGGTAATTAGTGTGTGGACCATTTTTATTTATATAGTACTCTGTGAACACAAATTAGTTAGCATAAATCAGTTAAATGACAATGACGCAAAATTAGGTGTCTATTTACTTGTGACCACTCAGTATATATATGGGTGTACTAATGAGGTTTAAGTAGTTATTGATCAAAGATTCTGAAATAGTACAAAAACATAAAATAAACAATTACGTATATTGACATCATCATATGAATATTGTAAACACATAATTGCATAGCTTTGTGTTTGAGTTTTTAAATTGTTTAATAGTTGAAGTATATGAAAGTTAAATACATGCTGATTAAATACACCTTGAGCACTGAACTATTCGTTTGTTTGAAGTTAGGCACAAAGCTACTCAATGGGTTATCTGTGCTCTGCCCACCACGGGTATCGAAACCCGGTTTCTAGCGTTGTAAGTCCGCAGACATACCGCTGTGCCACTGGCGGCAGCACTGAACTAAACGGTAACCGATATTACTTGAAAGTCTCCTTTTCACTTACCTTCTTCAATCTGTTGTTGCTTATGATCTGAACCCTAAAAAAAGAAGAAAACGTTTGATGAACTAAAGATGATTCAGAAGATTGATTATTTATTAAAGCTTTCTTAATCCAGATAAAATCAAACTGTCCTATTTTACTTTATGCTTTATATAATAGCTTGATGTAATTTTCAAACAAATTTTCAATATATTTTCCTATTTAAAATCGTGAAATACTTTCTAATAAATTTGTCATTAGTAATCCAACTCGTGGAGCATAATTCAAACAGTTACATTCGATTTTTAAAGAAGCTATGACGTTAAACCCGACCTTTTTCTGCTTTGTTATTAATATAAAAAAATAATAATATTGGGATTTTACTAACACACAAATATTTAATCGAATTTTTTTACAATTACTTTCTATACTACCTCGTCATATTCGTAATGCAATGGTTCAAAAGGCAATGGCTTTAAAATGTATTTAAGGTTAATTTCTTACTTCAGTCTCTTGTTGAGGAGTTTGCTGCTCAAATGGATTCCAAAAGTTTCCAATATCTTGGTTGTGTCGGTCAAACTCGATCCCAAACAATTGATTTGGTGGTTGTTCCTGTCCGGGAATTACGTAGTTAGGTTGGTTTTCGTTGGTCAAGGAGTTAATTTCGTGATGAGGGAGTTGGGATTCGAGTTCTTGTTGAGTATTTCCCAAATTACCCATTTGGTCAAAAATGACTTCAATAGGTTCTTCACGTTCATGTAAGTTATTATCTAATCCGTTAAGAATGCCAAAATAATCGTTATTTCCACCTGTTTCTTGTTGTACTTGCTGTTCCAACTCTGATTAAAGAAAACGTTATTTTTATATAACACAAGTTCAGTAACAAAATTATAACTCATAAACAAAGATATTCAAATTGTTCTAAAACGTTGTGCAACCATTTAAGCTCCCCAGTGGCTCAACGGTAAGTTTGAGGGTTTATAACGCTAAATATCGAGTTTCAATACCTGCGGTGGGCAGGAAAGAACTAGCCCATTACGTAGCTTTGTGCTTAACAATAACAATTGTTTACTAACATTTACAATTCTTACACCATTAGACACTGATAGTGCAAAATTAGAGTTTTTGTTGAATTTTTCAAATACACAATATATCAAACGGAAACTCTGACAAAAGATTTGTGTGCTAAAAATGTTTTACCTGCGATTATTCATATTCATATTAAGTGGATTTTAGAGTACGTTCGAAGTTAACTAATTGTAAGATATTGTATGTTGCTTGGAAACGCTTGGGGTGTAGTGGGATAAGCTTAATTATAAAATTATTTATTTTTTAACACAAATTAATTATTTCTTAATGCTAATTTTAACTTATGTAAAAAGTTCGTGAAATTTAACGGTTTATTGAATGAATTGTTTGTTTGGTGTTAAGCACAAATCTACACAATAGTTTATATGCGCTATGCCCATCACGGGTATCGAAAACCAATTTTTAGCGTCCTAAGCCTGAAGACTTACCGCTAAGCCACTGTCGGAGTGGACTATAATTTTAGGATTTATGCGTTTTTGAAAATTTCGGCCATATTTTATTTCTGCGGTTTTAATCTAAATATAATTTTCTTTAAAATTATGTTATTTTTAGATTCGATATTTAATATTTAAGAAAAATAGTTTATGATAAACACTAGTCCATCTGGATTTTATTTCTTACAACAGAAGTTTCCTGATTCCTAAAACTGTTGATTTCTTATCATGCACAAAAGATTTATAGCCCTGATAAATCTAAATGTAGATTTGATTAAAACTGACCATCAATACAAATTGGCGCCTCTGATGGAAACCAGACCCCTTCAAGGTTGCATCGGTAAAAAAGTGGATGCGGATCCTTGAACTTCATCCCCGTTGGACACTCGACTTCACAAACTGTCTCTTCGAATGTGTGGTTACAACGTAAGCTTCCAACAAATTTAATGCTATGAATATCACAGTTTGATATTGCTGGAAAAGATAAGGTAAAATAAATATATTTTTCGGCGGGTAATAAGCTATCTGATTCATCAATAATAAACTAGTTTTGGATAAGAAACGTCCTCGTGTTACTTTAATAAAGAGCTTTCACGCCAGCCAGAGGTCTGTTAAAACTTTGTGTCAGGCCCATTAAACCAGTGGTGGCAGGGATTTTGATTTTTAATGCCCTTAGATATGGTATAACAAAATTAAGTTAGAATGATATTGTAACTTGGTGTTTGCTGATCTCAAAACATGGCGTTGGAGTTACCGACGTCCTCTTTTAAAAAATTGTTTCTGAAGTAACCATATAACCAGAGAAATCAAACGCTGTAATTTAGTTATGATATCCCCTTGCGTCAATTGATGGCAACATCAATTCAAACTACTAAAAGGCATTAACATTCATATAGTTGTTGTACTTAGCAACGAAACGCAAAGATCATTGTTAAACTGGTGTTTATGTGTCAGTTGCCAAAATTGAACGTTTACATCATTGGTGATTATATGCTGTTACATCGGTCATGATGAAGCTTGTTCACAGTGTCTGTTGATTGATGCGCTAGGCGTATTTCTGTTTAGTGGCAATATATGATGATGATGATACTGGTGAAACTTTTAGTAAATGAGCTAATTCCCGCTTATTTCCATAATAAAGTTCATAAAACATGGTGGTCTAACACTACGTGTAGTTTTGGATGTACTGAACTCACAAAATATCAAGGTATAAATACTAATTGTATAAAATATCCCGATGCTTCTAATAGAAATGTTTTAAGCGTTAAAAGTAACAAGAAGCATAACAAAACTACGTCATTTGGATTTTCAAGTTATATGGTTACCTTGGAAATGGTTCAAAATATCATATTGGGCAGGGCAATTTGTAACACACATCAGGCTGAAATATCATACTATGATCCTTCGATTCGTATTCCTTTTATATCCATTTCTCATATGGTTAAAGAAAACTCTTTTCATTTCTGGGTCCGTGGACAGAATATCAAAGTCGAGAGCAATTATGACGGTTTGTCATTAAACTTCGTCATATCCGTATGTTTAATGACAATTTCACAGGACTAGTATAAATAAATTGACAATTTCAACTTCCAAATTAGTTTAATGAACATTATATTTCAACTTAGTTTTTTATTTCTATAATTTCAACATATATTTAGTTGAAATCGGTAGTCCATGGATACATCTAGCTGTCTAAATAGCCTACCAATACCATTATTGATAACACAGCAAAGATGTCCGAACCGGGGGTGCTGGAGGTGCTGTAGCATGCCAACTTTTACATCTTAGTTTTTTTTCTATAATTCAAACATATAAGGATGTTTCTGTCCATAACCCAATTCAAACATATAAGGATGCTTCTGTCCATAACTCAATTCAAACATATAAGGATGTTTCTGTTCATAACTCAATTCAAATATATAAGGATGTTTCTGTTCATAACTCAATTCAAATATATAAGGATGTTTCTGTCCATAACCCAATTCAAACATATAAGGATGTGTCTGTCCATAACTCATTTCAAACATATAAGGATGTTTCTGTCCATAACCCAACTCAAACATATAAGGATGTTTCTGTCCATAACTCAATTCA